ACCTCAGTGCGAGCGGGGAATCCGTGAGCCAGGGGAGTGTAGCAGTCTAGGGGGTGGGGGTGGTGAGGGCAGTCACTTGACATGCGTGAAAAGCTGGAATGTTCGAGTTTCCACTATGTCGCGAACAAGCCATGCAGCGCGGCGGCCACTGCCCCCTCACCCTAAGCGACATTGGGCCGAACCGCTTTTCTACCTCACGGTGCGCATTTCATAGAAGTTTGAACACTCCTTTACCTAGAATGAACTGAGGTAATATACACTAGATAGCAATAGGGTAAGAATGCGCTCAATATTAACAAAGTTCGAGAAAAAGAGGGCCCACTTCATCATTTTACAGCGAACGCTTCATGAAAATTGCATGGGCATCTGAAAGGGTCCTATTCCCATCACTTCCAGCTGTGAAATACCGTGACGAATTAGTCTGTTTGGTAGTAAAACCGAATGGTAGACAACACCCGATGCTGTCAGAAAACGTTTTGAGAACTTTCGTTATTGCTCGTTCGTATTCCTAGCTCTCTGGAATCCTCAGTTATGATCGTTGCCCTCTTTCTTCAGGGTAGAATTTCATGTTGCGGCTGCTACGCGTATATGTTGTTTCTCGAAAGTGTTATCTATTTTCGTGATTGTGGGTGTTGATGTGTTTAGTGAACCAGTAAATGCTGAGAACTAGGCGTGAAGCTGGTGCTGTGTTGGCGTGGGTGTCACGACAAAAACACACAGGCATTGTAACACAGCACATTTGATGGAGAGCGGAGCATGTGTGGAGGCGCGAGGAATGAGGTCGCGGGGGCTCTGGTGAAGCAAAAACCATCCACAGCCATTAGGCTGCCCTTTGACCAGGTGCATCAGGTGAAGAGGAGCGAGGGAAACGCGGTAGGAGGCACACCACGATTGTGGGTCAGTGATGGGGTGGTTGAATTGGGAGCACTTGTCGGAGCTCTAGGGAATGTATTTTGATGCCGAAGGCGCCTCTTCATCATAGCATGAAGGCAATCGTGGACGGGAATAGGATTCTTTTTGACCAAGAGCCAAGAGCCATTGTAAAAATTTGACTGAGTAATCCAGAAAGCTGTCCTCAAGTAAGGGCCCTTCCTGTATTTACAGGAGAAAAGGTGTGGGTGAAGAAACGCTCATCCCTCCCACCAACCATTTCTCATCGTAGTGCTAGCGAGCGAGATGTAGAAGTGAACCAGGAACGTGGCTTAACGCAAGCTGAGCAGCTTCTTCCATTTGATAATACTTTTAGTCTCGTAAGCTTTGTGCTATTTATAACTGGTGCACACTGGTAAGCACTGTGAACGTGCTTAAGGCCTAAACAGAAGAGAAACGTCAGGGGATAGGGCGAGTTGGAACAAATAAGTCTCCTCTGCTTCCTTCTTTGGGTAATTTGAATAGTTACGTACCCTGGGCTTCCTTGGGTAATTCAAATGGTTACGTGCCCCTGAAATTCTCGTTGTAGGCTCCACAGTGACGAACGTGAGGAGAACGCTAACCTATATCGCAAGGGACAAGGTTTTTCCTCATAGTGTTAGGGTTTTAGGGTTCTATGAACTGAGAGGTCGCTCACTCCAAGGGGTTCCCGTGATCCTCTCCCATTCAGTCGCACTATACATTCGAAAGAGCGAATGCGTTCAAGTAGAACTGGTTGCTTCTAATCTAATGCGAGTTTTTTTTTCGAAGCAACAACCTCAGATGAGGTCGTGTTAAAGAATCTGTTCTGTGGGTGGGATAGAGTAGCCCACGGCTATCACATGTGCGGTTGTCGCGGCTCGAAAGTGCGCGATAATGGCGCTAGGGCCTTACAAAATGATCTGACGACGACCAATGTGAACTTATGGACGAGATACTCGCGCTGGAGTTTTCAGTGCTTACAGATGGGGCACCCTACACCTTACAGACCTTGTAGTGATCAAATGGAGAGGATCAAGTAAGACGCAAATTGTTATTGTCGAGCACAGAAAGATTCTACAAAATACTATCAGTAGAATAGTAAAGTGACCGTGCAGACTTTCAATCACTCTTGTAATCTAAGATAGATAAGAAATTCAAGTGCAGAAATTGAGACATAAAAATAGGCCACTGACCAGTAGCGTGGGGCTTCTGTCAAGTGAACGTGACCGTGGTATGATGGCGCTCCTTGCGCGAACCAAAGCATAGTCAGTCATGCTGAAAAAATGGACTTATTATTTCAAAATTGTTAACGATCATTCTGTACAAAATTATTGTTGCAAAGACAAAGAACGAGAGGATACGTTGATGTTCGCCGTAAACTGATCAACTTGTGATGCGCCATGCACTCGTTTATAATTACGGACAGCGCATGCGTTTCAAAGGTGATTGAAAGATGTTTCTGCGAGCAGTTTGGGTTAGAAACGAGACATCTGTCTGAATTTCCGAGCACATACTAGTGCGAAGGGATTCTCTGGTCTATGGGGTGGCCGGAATCATAGCGTTGAGCTTTCCATCATTTACTGAGGAAAATTTTCTATTGCTGAGTACCTCCCCATCAGAGCTAGAATCAGTGGAAAGCACGCTTTCAGAGCCAACATAAAGGCGACGAAAAAGTTGGAGATAAGAAATTTAGGGAAATTCGATTTATCGTGGCCCTTGCCGTGCCCCTTTCATTTCTTTCGGTTGAAAACTGTTCAGTTTACTTGAATTTATTAGCTAAATATAGTTATGTTTGACATCCACCCGTGATGCTTAAACGTCAAAGGTTTGCTGGTAACGTTCATGGCTGAGTGTAAATAGTTGATAAAAAGTGTTCGATAAAATGTGAAAGGATCATGAGGTTGAAGCGAGCAAGAAATTGACACGATTCCAAGAAATTCAGAGATTCACGAATTTTACAACTGATTCCAGATCGATATTGAAATTCATGAAAAATGACTGCTGGATATCTTGAAACTTTTCGTCATACAGAGGGACAACTAATAGCACCTCGCCTTTAACGATTTAACGCTCACGATTTCTATGGGATGTGGAGTCAAGGGTAATGGGGCACC